ATTTTGCTACAATCAAAGTGGTTGTATACAATTAAATAGCTAGGATTTAGTCTATTAGGTAATAAGAGACCTAAAACTACTCGTTGTTTTAATAAAACTTTTGATAAAAATCCCAAAGGTGGGTTGTGGCTATTACTCCCTTGAGCAAAGAGGATTTTCACGTAAGAAATTCTTATATTCGTACTTTACTACTTCAAGTTGTGGGGGAAGTGCATGGTTAGCCACTAATAACACATGTAATTACTTCTAAACCACTGTTTAAAATGTTTTTAGTCTTTAGCCACTGCTTTAATAAACTTTAACTGCCCAGACGAAAATACCCTTCTGCTCATGTCCTTAACTTTTGAACTTAACGTCAGGACTACATGTCCTTAACTTTTAAACTTGTAACTCTAAGTTGAGGACTTCAGGATTACATGTCCTTAACTTTTGAACTTGTAACTCTAAGTTCAGGACTTCAGGACTACATGTCCTTAACTTTTGAACTTAACTTCAGGACTATATGTCCTTAACTTTTGAACTTGTAATTGTAAGTTTAGGACCTATCGTCCTTAACTTTTGGGCTTCTTAGCCTAAGTTCAGGACTTATTGTCCTTAACTTTTGATCTTGTTAGTCTAAGTTCAGGACTTCAAGACCTATTGTCCTTAACTTTTGAACTTGTAACTATAAGTTCAGAACCTATTGTCCTTAACTTTTGGGCTTCTTAGCCTAAGTTCAGGACCTATTGTCCTTAACTTTTGACTCAGAACTTCAGGATCTATTGTCCGTAACTTTTGAACTTGTAACTGTAAGTTTAGGATCACTAGTTTATTATTATTTTCCAGGTCATTCACAGGTGCACTTCATCAACCAATTCAACTAGCACAGCTACGCAAAAGAATTTAAGAGACGTCATCCATGGTAGTCGTATTTAATTTTTTGGATGACGAAATGCATCAATAAGAAGTGGAATATTTAGGAGTATAATATTTAACAACTTGATACCAAAACTTAAATTAAATAAATCCTTGCTGCAACTTCGAAGTGACATTAGAAGAGTTAACTTCAAGAAATTGTTCCAACAAAGTTTATCCGTAGTTTAAGGAATGCAAAATTCCTCACACAAATGAGAAATCAAAACAACGGGTGCAAATATAAAGATTTGCAAAGGCAAAACGAGGCAGCAAAAATAATGTAGAAGAAAGGATAACACAGTCTTTTCATATTAATTTTAATAGGCTAGTGGCTACTATTGCTAAGCATTAAAAATGCTGAATAAAAAATAAATATCACTTTAAAAAGTGGCCACCCCACACGATTTTTACCAAGGTGTGTGCCTAAACTAACAACATATATATTGCATAAAGCCCACGGTTTCTTTTTTTTAAAAACAAAATTCTCCCTATTGAGGATTTATAGTGTTTTCATATTTTTTCTTAAGCGTGGGTGGAGGTGTTTTACCAATTAAGCGAGCCTCACGTGGGTGGAGGTGCTTTACCCCACAGTTTGTTATTAACATAAATATAATCACACCCTCCCCTCCTTGTATAATGCTAGAAAATATTTTATAGTAAAGTGTTTTAAGAAATATGAAACAAGAGCATTCAATCCACTACTGTTTCCATGGTTGAGTATGGGAAGCGAGGTTAAATATAAACTGTTAGTTAATTAACTAGCTAAACCAGGGTTAAAAATTTATACATATGCCATCAACATGATGAGTTGTTATGAGTTATGAGAGTGATATCCAACCATTGCACGTCCTAATTAATTAAGTAAAAATTGTACGGGGCGCCCTATTTGGTCGCCCCCATTTAACTTATACCCATTTTTTAAAAAAGTTTTAATTTGTACTCACTTTTTAAACAACTTCAGCCTCCTTTCTCCTCCTCCTTCTCCCAGTGATCTCCATATATCTCCGATTATTAGACAATGATCCACTTTTTTTCAGTTCAACAAGTTCTTCTGAATCTAATTCTGGTACTCTCTCTACAACTTCCTCTGAAGCTGACTGTTTTTACTCTGAAAAATCCTCAAGAAATACTACTACTACTACTACATGTTTTGCTGCGGCAAAGAGTAAAAAATCTGTGAGAAGAGCCAGCATTTCACCACGTTTGGAACATAGGAGTGAGTTTTATTTATTTGATAATTATCACAATCAAAAAACAGAGGAAAATGAGGAGAGTTTGATTAAGTCAAAATCAAGAGCTTTGAAAATCTACAACAATTTGAAGAAAGTGAAACAACACATTTCGCCTATGGTCGTCTTACTAATTTTCTCAGTTCCATTTTCAATAATGGAAATGGGAAAAAATCAAAGTGAGATTTACAATCAAATTTCATTGTGAGCTGAAGTTTGCCAGTTACAAACAAAAACTTCAACTCTAGAGCTGAAGTTTAGAGCTGAAGTTCGACAGTTACAAAACAAACTTCAGCTCTAGAGCTGAAGCTCGCCAGTTACAAATAAAAACTTTAGCTCTAGAGCTGAATTTCGACAGCTACAAAACAAAAACTTCAGCTCTAGAGCTGAAGTTCGCCAGTTAAAAAACAAAAATGCTACTTCAGTCTCGTCTATTAGAATGTTGAAGTTTTGCGTGATTGTCTTTGCTACTTCAGTCCCGTATGCTGAAGTTACGCGAAAAAGTGGGTACACTTGCAATTTTTTTTGCAAAACGAACACGAGTTAAAACGTGACCCAAAAAACGAGTATAAATGCAAATGCCCCGTTAATTAATCAACAAGTTGATAGTAGTAAAATAATCTACTTAGTTAGACTTACATAAAGTTAATAGTTGACCTGAACAAATTTTAAGGAAGAGCAATTATCACATTTAGCGTGGTTGTTCCGAGGTGGGTGATCTTGAATATGAGCTGGTGAGTTGGTCTTAGCTTAATAAGAATTGAAAAAAAAATTATATGCATAATCTAAAACATGAGTTGTCATTAAAGTCTCCAGCTCTCCCATGTCCTTAATTAATTGACGCTATAATTAAGTTGGCATTAGTAAAATATTCTAGTTGTTGAGACTATTTAAAGCTATTATTGATTTAGTGCGGAAGATGATTGCTAAATCAAAATTACAATTAAAGAGTGTTTGGTCAACAATGTCCCTTATCTTTAAGGGTAGGTCTATTTTGGTCCATCAAATATAATCCTAAGCATATTTAGTCCTTTAAGTATGCTAAAGAGGAACACATTTAGTCTCACTGATAAAATTGTGTTCAAGATCAATTACGGGGTTGGTTTCGACACTCACCGTCTTTTAAATTTACTTATCGAAAATATTTTATAAACCAATACCTACTAATAATACAGAGCTGACAAATTTAAGATTTTAACGTTGAAACTTTTACTTTTAACAATTTGAGATGATTTTTCCAAAAAGAAAATTAAAATTTGAAAAAAATTGAGCTGCCAAGATCACCTCTAGGCATATTATTGGAGCAAACGAATAATCAGATTGTATTGTCACTTTTGCCCGCGCCAGAAACTATTTACATCTAATAGCCGAAAAAGTATATAAAATTTGTATAATTATTTTATATTAACATACAAAATGTGTGTGTGTGTGTGTACACACAAAATAATATACAAAATTTATAAATTTTTTCGGCTATTATTTTTACAGCGGTTATACAATGTCATCTTCTCATTGAAAATTGGCACATAGGGGGGTTTTTTAAGGTCAAAATTTTAGAAGACATTATCTAAAAATGAGTAGTTAAAGTGATAATTTGCGCTATCCAATAAAAAGAGAGGAAACGTTTTGCTTCAGAGCAGAAGATCTGCTTCATGAATCAGAGTTGGTTAACAATGTAAGCTTTTGAACACAATTCGGTCAGTGAGACTAAAGGTGCTCCTCTTTAGCATACTTAAGGGACTAAATATGCTCAGGATTATATTTAAGGGACCAAAATAGACCTACTCTTAAAGATAAGGGACAATATTGGTCAAAAACTCCAATCTGAACGTCAGCTAAGTTCTAGGAAACTTAAGCATGTTAAATATAACTCTTTTTTGAAAGAATTACAAGAAAATACACTTGATTTCACACCATAACAAAAAATGACCCATATTTATAAATTTTACCCGTCGTAGCCTATATTGTACATATTTTGAAAGCACTAGCAAATTCAAAATCTGTTTTCTTACAACCATTGCTTCTAAAAGCTATGGAATTAAATCTATATTCTCACAACCATTGCTTTCATTCTCTTTTCTTCTCACATCTTCTACATATATTTCAAAGGGTCGTCCGCCATTACTGCTTCTTCCCTGTGTCACCTGGTTGCAATGTAAGACAATTGAAGATTCAACATCTACCATTGAAGGTCATTCAAAGCTTTGCTTTCAAAAATAAGATGTTTTGAGTTTGTTAGTTGTTTGGATTGGGTGTTGTTTCAATTGATCAAAAATATCAAAAGGAGTTCAAAATTTAAATTTGAAGTGATTTGGATTAGATTTGAGCAAGATTTGAGTTAAATTTCAGAAAAAACGCAAAAAAGAAGACGAAGTTAGGCTTTTGTATAATTATGTATAATCTTGTATAATAGTGTATATGAGTGTATTATACATTTTTATACACCTTTATACAAGCGTCTGTAGACGAACTTCTTTCACGATTTTCAGTTGCAATTCTTGTTCAAAATCAGTCCAAATCTTCATTAAATGACTTCAAATTTTATATACAACCTCCTTATACTACTTCTAACAATTCTAGATAATACCCACTCCAAATTTCTCACAAAATTAAATTCGAAATCTAAACCCACATATTTAAGCTTGTTAAAAATCTAATTTTCACCATCCAAATGAATTTGGTTTGTTGAACTAATATTTTAATTACATTAACTGATTCGAAAATTAACTTAAAAGTTTGACCAATTTTTTTTAAAAATTAAATTTTCCCTCTTTCTTAATGATTTGTCAACATCTAGTGAATGTGATATATTTTCAATCTTAGTATTTGTAGACTAATCCCTCGTATAGATTGTCAACTTCCTGCAAATTGCTTTATTTACAATTCTATACAGATTCAGATCTGAATTTACTTATAAAAGGAGCAGCGATAGAAGGAAAGGAAAGCAGCATAGGTCCAGCAACATTTGGAAGGTCCGCTAATTCGTGTAAGTTTTCGCTTTACTCTCTTATCTTTAACGAGAAATTTTTATAATCACACAAATATTCTGGACTCCTTTTTGCTTTGTTTAGGATCACAAATTCCAAAAGTCGTTCATTTTTTCTTAAACTCCGTGCCTAGTTAAACAGTTTCACATAAATTGCAACGGAGGAGTATTAATTTCCTTTGCAGTCTAATGAATAAGTTGTATTTGGATTGCCTTTTACATATGTAATTGTTGCCTTCTACCACTACTCTAAAAATTACCACCGTCAAATGCCACCATCAACCACCTCCATCAGCAAGCAACCACCTGCCCACTTTTACTAGACGCCTCTCCTCAGAAGAAGCAGGGCTAGAATTTTAAACTTATGCGTTCAGAATTCTAAACTTTTTAAGTTATTCGGTTCTAAATTAACGATTTATACTAGTCAATAAATTTTTCAAGACAAATACAATATTTGAACCAAAGCTACTGAGTTCACCGAATCCGTAGCCACAACACGAGCTCCGCCCCTGCCTCTGTCACCGGCTTCAATTGCATAACTACAACCAGCAACTACCAATTACCTTCATTAGCCACTTCTACGACCGGCCTCCATCGAACAACCATCACTATCATCTAGAGGCGGATGCAGTGTGAGAGTTACGGGTTTAACTGAACCAATAACTTTCGACGCGGAATAGAAATTTATGTGTAAAAATTCATTAAAATTGTAAAAATAATAGATTTGAACTCATAACTTTAAATATATAATAGGTTAAATGTTAAAAATCTTAAAAATTGAACCCATAAAATTTAAATCCTGGATTTGTCTCTGCTACCATCTACTGTATACTAGCCACCACCAGCCACCTCTACCACGCCTCCACCGCACATCCCCATTAGTCAACCAGCATCACACATCTATTATCTTTAGCTACCACTGCACAACCACGGCCAGACTCCTCCACCAATCATAGTCACCGTTAACTACCACTTAACAACTATCATCGCTGATTGCCACCACTATCAGCTGCAACCACGACCTGATGAAGGGAAATTTGACTGATCATGTCAACCTCTATCATAAAATGAGCATAGAGATCAATGTAAAGAAATTTGAATGCCTAATAAGACTTGTCCTTTTTTTTTTGTTTCCCATCTAGTGTTCTATACCCTGTTTGGGGCTACTAATAATTCGGATTCGAGCCGCGTAAGCTCCATTAGAGGAGAACAAGACTTATCAAGTCAAAGTGATAGTAGCTAGTTAATTCGTGTAGGAACTTCTTTTTTGCTTATTTATTTCATGAAAGGCATCCAATCCCACCACTGCTTTCTTGGTTGTGCCAGGTCAAGCTATTTTTCCTAGCTAAACCAGAATTTAAAAATATTACTGTATGAAATCCATATGTCATGAGTGACTGTCAACCCGTCACATGTCTGTTAATTAATACTACCATACTTTTATTATAAACCTCAACTTAACTCTAAATCAGTAAGGAGGACGATTAACATATTCAAATCATAACATAGCTAAGTCTTTGGAAACTTCAGCAATACATATTGCATCTTGATGTGAAATATACAATTTGTTAAAAAGTCAAGTGCGACTTCTGCTGTGATATTATTTCAATTGTTATTACGTACATATTTGTCAAACTTCTCTGTCATTCTGAGTGTTATAACTTTCTGCTAAATTTCTTTATTTAAAACTCTCTATAATGTGGAGGCCCTTTAATTTACAGCAGAAGTATATAGAGAGAGATGGCTGCTTATGCTGCACTAACTTCTCTGCTGGGAACAATAGATCAGCTTTTACAGTCCAACTTATCAGGCCTACAAGAGAACCATAAGCGACATTTGAAATCGCTCAAGGAGAAGTTTGGGTCACTACAAGCGTCGTTTGGCAATGTTGATGGCGAACCAACCAAGGAGATGCAAGCAAGAATCAAAGATGTAGCACGCGATACAGAAGATGAAGTTGAATCACTAGTGAAACAACTTATGGAGCAGGATGAACTCCTTCAAGTTGAATCATGCGCGAAGCTTGCCAAGATCTCTCAACAGGCTACACAAGAGATAGATTCTTTCAAGGAAGAGCTCATCAAGCAGGAGAATAACAATTTGCAAGGTGAGAGTTCTTCAACTAGCGGCTCTAGTTCTCCACGATTGGATGCTTCAATCCTTGAGAACGATATGGAAGGGTACAATGTTGAAAGAGGAAGCATGGTTCAACAACTTACCAGACGCTCAGGCTCAGATCAACGGGAAGTCTTCTCTGTTGTGGGAATGCCGGGCATAGGTAAGTCAACTTTTGCCAAAACTATATTCCTCCATCCCTCTATTCGGAGGGTCTTTCATATTCGTGGATGGATTACTGTGTCTAAGGACTATGATCTAAGAAAGATGCTTCTAGTCCTTCTTGATGCTATTGGAAAGAAAGACCCGGTTGATGCTAAAATTGATATTGGAAAACTCGCTGAGCGGTTAAAAAATGGTTTGAAGAGAGAAAGGTATTTGATTGTTGTGGATGACATATGGAGCAAAGAAGCTTGGATTAGGATTGCACAATGGTTTCCAGATTCTGGTAACAAAAGTCGAATTTTGTTGACTTCTCGAGACAAGGAGGTTGCTGAGTACGCTAGCTTTCCAAGAAGTTGTTTCCAGATGCGTCCTCTGAACACAAATGAAAGTCAGAATCTGTTTTACCGGAAGACATTTGCCAAAAATGACAACCCAGGGTCGGCATTTAAGGAAGTTGCAGAGGAAGTTGCCAAAAATTGCAAAGGATTGCCGCTAATGATTACTGCAGTTGCTGGTATACTCTCTAGCAAGAGTACGCTAGGTGAATGGAATACAGTAGCTCAAAGTGTGAGCTCATTAGTAAATGATGATGCTTACCAACAATGCTTAAAAGTGCTCGCTTTGAGCTACAATCATCTTCCTTCTCATGTGAAAGCTTGTTTTTTGCATTTTGGAGTTTTTCCAAAAGCCCACGAGATTTCCGTTAAGAAGTTGATTAGATTGTGGGTTGCGGAAGGACTCTTAAACCTAAAGGGGGTTGAGGAATTTGAACAAGTGGCTGGTCATCTTTTATATAATCTTATTGAGAAAAGTTTAGTTATTATTGGCAAGCGAAGTTTTGATGGCAAGATTAAGACATGTATGATTCACGATCTTTTTCATGATTTGTGCTTGGAGGAAGCTAAAAGCGAGAATCTTTTGTATGTTCCTTCAGATTCCACCATTTTTGAAGTACAGAGATATTTTCCCAAAGGTTGTAGGTGGGTGTCAGTTCAATCAGGTCTAACTAATCCCCCAAGGTACTACAACGATTACAGTACTCTTGTCGAAACACGTTCTCTTTATTTAAATGGTAGAAGTTGGCAAATACCTGATTTAAGACCTTTCCTTTTCAAGCTACTAAGAGTATTGGACTTGGAGGAAACTAGCAGTTCGTTTTCCCCTGTTGTGATGATGGGAGACCTAGTTTGTTTAAGGTATTTGGCTGTGATGAGTCATAGAATTTTAGAGGATCTAACAAATAGCAATCTTTGTAATCTACAAACTCTCATTTTTAGGCGCCACGTAGTGTATGATGGTGAACGCGCTGCAACTTTACCAAAAGCGATTTGGCAAATGTCTCAACTAAGGCATCTCTATGCAGCATGCTTTTCTCTATGTTCTCCTAGAATGGTATCAGTTGAGCACTTGGTTCTGCGAAACTTACGGAATGTTTCTGGTTTGAGTCCTTCTTGTTGCACAAAGGAAATATTTGAAGGGATTAAGAAGGTGCAAAAGTTGGGCATTCTCTGCACTAGGAAGGAATATCCTAGGGATCCTAAATGGATAGATAATCTTCAATATTTACCAGAGCTCGAGGAACTAAGTATTGCAACTCAAGGTTATCTGTTCGAGAGGGAAGAAGTTGAATGTTTTAGTCTTACAAGTCCAGATGCTTTACCACTAAATCTCAAGAAATTGAAACTTAGCAAGACCTATCTTCAATGGAAGTACATGGCCGTTATTGGCAAGTTGCCCAAACTCGAGGTGCTCCAATTGAAGGATCATGCCTTCGTGGGCAACGAGTGGAAAGCAACAGATCAAGTGAGGTTCCATGAATTGAAGTTCTTGCTTCTTGATTGTCTCTACCTTAGAAACTGGAGAACCACTGACTCTAATGATCATTTCTCAAGCCTTGAGCGCGTAATTATCAAAGGCTGCAATTTCTTAAAAGAGATTCCTGAAGGATTTGCTGGTAGCAAGAACCTGGAGCTGATTGAGTTACACAAATGTACTCCTTCCGTTGTGGCTATTGCTCAGAAGATCCAGGAAAAACACGAGTATTACGGAAGGTGCAAACTGAAAGTTATCGACTACGATACAGCAGGTAAGTATCTGTGAACTTTCAATAGCCATTATATGTTTGAAATTATAACCACTATATGAGAGTTTAACTGTTGGCTGATAACATTCCTTCTGCGTATCAATCATTGCACGTAGCTCTAAGGGGTCGTTTGGTAGGATGTATTAGGTAAAATAATGCATGCATTAGCTTTGTGTATTAGTAAGTAATACTTTGTTTGCTACACTTTTTAAGCATAGGCATTAGTTATACACCATATTTGGTATTATCTTATACATAACTAATGCATAAGAAACCATGGTATTAACTATGCAATGAGTTTTAATGCATGCATTAACTTAGTTAAAGATAAAATTATCCTTCAAAATTTATGCTTGATTAAAATATGCTATTATATTAATGCAAGTTTGAAATAATCCAAGAAAGTGAATCAAAATTATATCCCTAGTAAATAAATAAATACTTAGCATATTTTCTTTTTTATAAATAAATATTAAGTTCTATACTACATTATAGTAAAAATAGCATGGTATAACCAGTTTTCGGACTGTTCATTCAAAAATAGTCAGCGTTTACGAAGTCAATGAAAAATAGCCACTATTTTGCTGCAACAGAGACCAGTCCAGCATAATATACTGGAGTTCGGTGCACCTGTGTATGAACTCCAGCATATTATGTTGGACCGGTATACTTTGCTGACTCCAGTATAATATACTGGAGACTAGAGCACCGGTGCTCCAAACTCCAGTATATTATTCTGGATAATTATAATTGCTGGACTCCAGTATATTATGTTGGAGTTCTAGTGTATTTACGCTGGAGTTCTAGTGTACTTATACTGGAGTTACAACATACTTATCCTGGAACTCCAGTATAATATGCTGGAGTTCAAGCATACTTATGCTGGAACTCCAGTATACTATACTGACGTATTTTCCGGGTTTTGAATAGTGTTTTCGCTCAGATTTATATTTACATGAAAAGTGGCTAAATTTCGATTACTTTTGAAACTGAGCTATTTTTGGACGACCAGTTGTAAATCTGGCTATTTTTAAATTTCTCCCACAATATAGGTAGACAACATATAAATTTTTTAAGCCTTTTTCATATAAAACATTTCACAACATATGTTTCTTTTAACAAGATAACGTGATGGACTGGTTATGAGGGTATTTTTGTAAACAAATAATTTCTTTGCAATGTTTGAATACATCAAACCAAACAATAGATAAGAAATATATCAGCATAATTAATGCAAGCATAACTAATATCAGCATTACTAATACACTCTATTCAGCATTATTTTTATACACTCTACCAAACGACCCCTAAGTATTTCTACTGAACTCATTACTTAATTTTAAAGCAAGAATGAAGTTCATGGAGGACAACATCTTTTGGTTGAAGTAAGATATATTCGATATTACATCTTTTGAACTAGTGAGGTCCTGGCTGGCGTATAAGTTACGATTTCACGTGAATTCAGTAATTTTTGTCCAACCCCTATATTAAGAAATCTACTAAATATTTGAATGTAAACTATGTTATTATTATATATTTTAACTTAAGATTCACTGTAGGAATCTTTGAACGTCAAATGCCGAAGGCGCCTCAGCTAAGAGATTACCTTAAAAGATCAACCTGCAACTGATGGAATCACATAAGGCTTTGTCTTCCCTCTGTGAATTTTTCCACCAAATACAACAAGAGGAAGAGATGGATGCAACTTAATCATGGGCGACTCAATGAAATCGGAGGCCTAAAGTCAAAACTTAAGAAGATTTGAGGAAATAGCATTAATAATGTGATAACAGTTGGACAAATAAATACGATTAATTTAGAAAACTAAGAAAAAAATTTATGGTCTTAACAAATTTTCTTTCAAGGTTTTAAGTTTTCTGTTAAGTATTTCACTGTACAATATTATCTATTATTTTAAAATTTTGAGTCAAATTATTTAAATATTCATATCTATTTTATCATTGTATTAATACATCTCGGATACTTACATGAAAAGAAATGGCTCTCTTTGACAAGACGAATGTGTGTTTGGCGAGGTAAAATGAAAAATAATTACTACTATTTCTTAGACCTTGCTGAATAACATTCCATGCATCTCTCGATACAATTATTTAACTATTTCCACTATAACCACAAGAACCTAAATTACAGAAATAGTAAGAAAAGAAAATTAGAACTAAGAAAGTCTTGTAATTGAAAGCTTTCCCCGTACCATTTGGCTTTTTAACTTAGAAATTCATCTTTTGAACGGCCACATTGTTGGATCATGGAATTAAAATATAATAGTAAATAAAGACTAATTTATAATAATAGGATGTCCAACATATGAAAAAACATGTGAACAAGACTAGCTAGTATGATTTGATCCTAACTAATAATTAAAGCAACTATACTATATAAGCATCTAAATAAATAAAAAAAATAGTACTAGAAGCTAGCTAATAGAATTGTGAGTTTTCTTAGCACAAAGCTTTTTCAACTCTTTGGCAACTTCTTCAATTTCTTCATCTCCTTTGGAACGAAGCATTTCCTTCATATCCCTTGCCTTTTGTCTCACAAATTTACCTTCCTTTTCTACCACAACTTGGTTGATTATGGCTGCAACTTCCTCTCTATGAAGCTTTCCATTACTATCCCTCACAACTTCCACAGCAATACCAACCTCTTCAACAAGCCTAGAGTTAATCGGTTGATCAATATGCATTGGCATAGCAATAATCGAAACCCCATATTTCATGCTTTCCATTACTGAACTCCAACCACAATGACTCATAAATCCGCCAATACTTGAATGCTCCAAGATTTTTGCCTGTGGTGCCCATCCTTTAAAAACTTTTCCCCTATTTCCTACCCTATTGAAAAATCCGTTAGGTAGTGCCTCTTCAAGTTCTATATCTTCCCCTTTTTGGAACCTTATAGGCCATATAAAATTCACCTTACTATTTTCTAATCCATAAGCAATCTCCAACAAATCTTCCTTAGACAAAAAATATTCACTTCCAAAAGATACAAAAATTGTGGATTTCTCCTCTTTTTCATTCAACCATGTTATTAACTCTGATTCTCCGTCATCAAGAGTAGGTTCTTGAACTAATGGACCAATTGGCACAACTTTTTTCCCAGTTAACTTAGTAATATAATCACTATACTTACCCTCAATCTCCTTAAAACTTTTTATCAAAACAATATCACTAGATAGGTAAAAACAATCTCTAACTCGTTTTTTATCTTCCTCAAGCTTTTCCACAGGCATAGATGATTCATCTTTCTTTATACGAGCCATCTCATAGTCACGATAATAAATAGACGAGAAAGGAAATTTTATACCTGGCTTATTGAAATCATGCAACATATAAGCAGTCATTGTAGAACTACTACTAATAAATTCAACAGCAGGAATTTTTAACTCAGCAGCAACATTTGGAGCCCAAGGTTGGAGAAAATCATAAATCAATAAATCGGGCTTAAGGGTTTTCAAGATTAGGGTAAATTCAGGACAGGCTAAATCAAAAGCTTCTTTGAGAGTGTTCATAAGATGAGGTGGGAGACCATTGGTGGTATGGTGACAAGGAGGAAGATTAGGTAAAGTTTGTAGATGAAGTTCCAAGAATTGGATTGATGATGAAAATTCATGGCTAAGTTTTTTCTTAATAGAGTTTAGGTTTACTGGCGTAGAACACAAGTAAATAGTGAAATTTCTTTGGCTGAGTTTTTTAGCTAACTCTAAGAAGGGAGTTATATGACCATAACCCAACCATGGAAACATCAAAACTCGAAGTTGTTTTTGATTATCCATAAAACCATTCATGATTTCTTGAGTTTCTGATCTTTTTTTAAACTTACTTTTTCCTCAAAATGTTTATGCATGCAGAAAGGGATCGAAAATGGGGGTATTTTATAGTTCATTAACAAGTTTATTATATGGTAAGTTGGAAAATATTGAAAGATCTATTAGTGTTTAATGCACAAACACGTACAAGGAAAATGCAAGTACATATTTTTGGTATAGATATAATATCGCATGGTTCATTTTCCTTTTACGTTGATCCACTTTCTTTGTTTTTCTTCCTCTTCCTTTTCAGTTTCTTTAACTGGCTTTCTTTTCCTTTTTCTTTTTTTTTTCTTTTATTTCTGGTAACTATGTTAATTGGGAACCTATGGTAGTTATTTTATTTAGGCGGTAATACATATCTCTTATGTACCCAAAAAAAAGGTAAGTAGTACTTACCTCGGAATTTTATCCATTAATATAAATGGATAAAATATATATATATATATTCTATATAGACAAGATTCGAAAAGAGTGGAAATAATCTTTTCTTTTATATTCTGTCGTTTTTCATTTCTCAAGTTTTGAAACTTTATACTTCATTAGTATTTTTTTTATGTGGTACAATTATTTACAGAAGCCAAGGGGGATTTCTAATTTCTTCAGACAAGACAAGTGGGATAAAAGAGTTAAATTATGCATCGAGTGAGAAAAAGTTAGATAAGATAAAATAGATTTTTATTACTGAGAAGGAAAAAATTACCCGATTACACATAATGTTTGTTACAAAAAAATATGAAACAAAATTACTGCGTTTGCCTAATGTATGTAGAAACCAAAAGAGGACCACCAAAGGATGTGGTGCAGTGGATGAGATTGTTCCTCCCTTAACCAGAGGTTTCGAGTTCGAGCCCTAGGTATGGAAAAATCCTTGGTAGGGAGCGCTTTCCCCCGAATGGGGCCCTACGCGGCATGAATCCGGATATAGTCGGATTCCAATGCGGGTACCAGACACCGGGTGGGAAACCAAAAAAAAAAAAAAAGAGGATGTGCGTTATTATAAGTCAGAACTTCAAGAAATTAAAGTTAGCTTTAATTCTCCTATATATAGGATTTAATTTGTACTTTTTAAAAGTTAGAATAAATGGCCAGTGATCTACATATGATCTTCATATTTCTTATTTTATTTTTAAAGGAAATAATAACAATAAATTCTTAGAATTCACCTTGATCTCATTCCGAATAGAATCTTCAGAATTTTAAGGAATACCTTTTCACTAGAAAATCTATGTTAGTAAATTCCCTTAATCTTGAGATCAGATTTGAATATATTTCTATTCCAAAAACTAACACTACTTGACATAGTTAAGTCATGAATTATTACACTGGCCAAAGCAAGAAAATAAATCAATGAAAAAGAAACAAAGTTTTTGAGAGAAAAATTAGGTCACAAACATCTGTAAAATCCTGAAATGTTGTATATCCAAGTTGCAGGCGTGCTTCTATACTACTTAATGCTTGTTAGGTGCTGGTTTTTTGTTTTGTTATCTTCTAAACTGTTATTTATCGAGTAACAATGGTGGTGACTTTATTGCTCTTCAACTCAAGATTACAAAAAGAAAAGAAAAACACAAGAATATAGAGTTGTATATGTCCAAATTTGGTAACCACGATAATGGATAAGTAAGACAAAAGACGGGGTCAACCACGATATAACGACTGAAGGTCGTCCTCATAAAGGCTGACGCCAAAAGCGGGCAGCTGAGATAGGATAGTAACAGTAACTTACGTTCAGGAGTGGACATAAAAAATATTCCTTTGGATATTCTTTATGCTGTACTTTTTAGGATTTTTGGGGAATGTCCCTTATAAATAGGAAGAGATAGGAAACAAAAAGGGAATCTGCCTTTTCTCAACTGGAACATATTGTAAAAGTTGAAAGAAGAATATACGAAAGAGTTGTCTTATTTATTTATTAAAGTACACATTGTTCAAACCTGATCCATAAATCTCAAGACCCCATATACATTTTGACCTCTCGATTTTTCACGTCGCCGTCAGAAAAAAGAAACATCCCAATCATATAATACAACAACAACAACAATAACAACAACAACAACAACAACAACAACAACAACAACAACAACAACAACAACAACAACACAACAACAACAAATCCAGTTTGATCCTAGCAAGTGGGGTCTGGGAAGGGTAGTCTGTACGCAGACCTTACTCCTACCTAATACAGGTAGAGAAGTTGTTTCTAATAGACCCTCGGCTCAGGAAGGGCAAGAAGAAGAAGAGGAAAGCAAGGAAGGAAGAAATATGGAAGATAAAAGAAAAAGGGAGAGATAAAGGATAAGTGGTACCAAATAATAGCAACAGGGAATACAATACCTGAGGCGAACAAAACCACATAACGTAATAAAAATCTAAGAATATGAAGGGACCTACATGCTACAAAGACTATGGGTGAACAACTATAAACTACCTACTAACCTTCTACCTTAATCCTCGACCTCTACACCCTTCTATCAAGGGTCATGTCCTCAGTGAGCTGAAGCAACGCCATGTCCTGCCTAATCACCTCTCCCCAATACTTCTTAGGCCTACCTCGACCTCTTCTCAAACTCTCCATGGCCAACCTCCCACACCTCCTAACAGGAGAATCAATTCTTCTTCTCTTAACATGTCCGAACCATCTCAGCCTCGACTCCCGCATCTTATCCTCCACGGAGGCTACTCCCACTCTATCCCGGATAGTTTCATTCTTAATCCTATCTCTCATGGTACACCCACACATCCACCTCAACATCCTCATATCTGCTACTCTCATCTTCTTCACGTGGGAGTTCTTGATTAGCCAACACTTAGCCCCATACAGCATAGTCGGTCGAACCACCACTCGATAAAACTTACCCTTAAGTCTTAGCGGCACATTCCTATCACACAAAACACCGGAAGCGAGCCTCTACTTCATCCATCCTACTCCAATGCGATGCGCGACACCTTCGTCAATCTCTCTGTTACCCTGGATAATCGACCCGAGATACTTAAAACTCACTCTCTTGGGGATTACTTGAGCATCAAGCGTAACCTCTATGTCTGCATCATGGGTGGTCCCGTCACCGAACTTGCACTCCAAGTATTTTGTCATGGTTCTGCTCAGT